TGTATGCCTTTTCCTTTTTTTAATAATTATTTAAAATTTTTTTTCCTTTGAATTCAGTAGAGTTCTTTGTTTTTAATGTCCACTGATCTCAAATATGCTAAGTGGAATAAAATAAATGGGGTTTTTATTCACTTAAAAGTTTTAAAGAGAGAAAAATGTACACTTCAGGGCCAGGTATAGTTACTTATGGGAGCAGTAACTATAGTGACTTTCAAGGAAAAGGGCTGGGTTCCTTTTTGTAGTCATGTCTATTCACCTGGAAAATTTTCTGAGAATCTTTTCTGCTCAATTCTTGGGAAATTCTGTTTTTTTTTAACAAGAAATGTCTTTCTCTTACATTTGTATAAGGTAGTAGTTGAAGCCATGGGAGTAGCTATAGTAGATGGGCTTGACTACCCTAAATATATTATCTTCAATAAAATAAGAAAGGGTATAATGATTAAAAGTGTAGGCCCTAGATTCAGACAGCATAGATTCTAATCCTGGTTCCATCCTTTATTGGTTGTATGATCTGGGGCAAGTCCATTCATTTATTCATTAAGAAAATATTTTTTGAGCACTTGCTATATGCCTGTTGTAGGCACTTGAGATGTATAAGTGAAAAAAATAGACAAAGATCCCTGCCCTTGTGGAACTTATATTTGTGGGGAGGGAGAGACAGACAATAAATAATGGACAATAAATAAATATATTATGTGATATGTTAGAAAATGATGAGTATTATGGGGGAAAAAAATAGAGCTGGGTAAGGGAGCTTGGAAGTGTGGAAATTGGGAGGAGGCCAGTTGCAATGTTAAATAGGGAGATCAAGACAGGCATTGTGAAGAAGGTAACATTTGATCAAAGACTTGACGAAGGTGAGGGAGATAACCAGAAAGAGGGCTATGTGGGGAAAGGTTAATCCAGGCAGAGACAACAATAAGTGCAAAGGCCCTAAGGTAGGAGTGTACTTGGTATGTTTATAGAACATCAAGGTGCTCATTGAGGTTGAAGCACTGTGAGCAAGGGAGAGAACAGGAGGAACAGGAATAGGGCCATTCATGTGGTGCTCTGTGAACCACTGTAGAGATTTGTGCTTTTGTTCTGAGTTAAGATGGGGAGCCACTGGAGGGTTTTAAGCAGAGGATAGATATGATCTGACTTAGCTTTACAAAGGATCACTCTGGCTTCTGTTTAAAATAGACTGTAGAGGTACTGGCAGAAAAACAGACACACAGATCAATGGAACAGAATTGAGAGCCCAGAAATAAACCCACACATTTATGGAGAGCTAATTTTTGACAAATGAGCCAAGAACACACAAAGGAGAAAGAAAAGTCTCTTCAATAAATGGTGTTGGAAAAACTGGGCAGCCACATGCAAAAGAATGAAAGTAGACCATTGTCTTACACCATACACAAAAATTAACTCAAAATGGATTAAACACTTGAATCTAAGACATGAAACCATAAAACTCCTAGAAGAAAACATAGGCAGTACGCTCTTTGACATCGATCTTAGCAATATCTTTTTGAATATGTCTCCTCAAGCAAGGGGAACAAAAGCAAAAATAAAGAAATGGGATTACGTCAAACTAAAAACTTCTGCACAGCAAAGGAAACCATCAACAAAACGAAAAGGCAACCTACCAATTGGGAGAAGATATTTGCAAATCATATATCTGATAAGGGGTTAATATCCAAAATATATAAAGAACTCATACAACTCAACAACAAAATCCAAACAACCCAATTAAAAAATTGTCAGAGGAGGGGGCTGGCCTGGTGGTGTAGTGGTTAAGTTGGCACGCTCTGCTTCTGGCAGCCCGGGGTTCGAAAGTTCAGATCCTGAGCACAGACCGACGCACCACTCCTCAAGCCACACTGTGGCAGGTGTCCCACATAAAGTAGAGGAAGATGGGCACAGATGTTAGCCCAGGGCCAATCTTCCTCAGCAAAAAAGAGAAGGATTGGCAACAGATGTTAGCTGAGGGCTAGTTTTCCTCACACACACACACAAAAAATTAGCAGAGGATCTGAACAGCCATTTTTCCAAAGAAGATAAACAGATGGCCAACAGGTACATGAAAAGACGTTCAACATCACTAATCATTAGGGAAATGCAAATCAAAATCACAATGAGATATCACCTCATGCTCGTCAGAATGGCTATTATTAAAAAGACAAGAAATAACAAGGGGCCAGCCCCGTGGCATAGTGGTTAAGTTCATGTACTCCACTTCAGCAGCCTGGGGTTGGCGGGTTTGGATCCTGGGCACGGACCTATGCACCGCTTATCAAGCCATGCTGTGGCAGGCATCCCACATATAAAAAAGAGAGGAAGACAGGCACGGATGTTAGCCCAGGGCCAATCTTCCTCAGCAAAAAGAGGAGGATTGGCAATGGATGTTAGCTCAGGGCTAATCTTCCACACCAAAAAAAAAAAAAAGACAGGAAATAACAAGTGTTGGAGAGGATGTGGAGAAAAGAGAACCGTCGTACGCTGCTGGTGGGAATGTAAATTGGTACAGCCACTATGGAAAACAGTATGGAGATTCATCAAAAAATTAAAAATAGAATTACCAAATGATCCAGCTATTCCACTTCTGGGTATTTATCCAAAGAACACAAAAACACTAATTTGAAAAGATATATGCACCCCTACGTTCATTGCAACATTATTCAATAATCCACCTAAGAGCCCATCAATGGATGAATGGATAAAGAAGATGTGGTATATATATAAATGGAACACTACTCAGCCATAAAAAAAAGATGAGATCTTGCAATTTGTGACAAAATGGATGGACCTTGAGAGTACTGTGCTAAGCAAAATAAGTCAGATGGAGAAAGACAATTACCATATGACTTAACTCATATGTGGAAGATAAACAAACAAAACAGACATATAGATACAGAGAATAGATTGGTTACCAGAGGGGAAGGAAGGTGGGCAGAGTGTGAAAAGGGTAAAGGGGCACATTTGTATGGTGACAGATGGCAACTAGACTTTTGGTGGTGAACACAATGTAGTCTATACAAAAGTTGAAATATAATGATGTACACCTGATGTTTATATAATGTTATAAACCAATATTACCTCAATTAAAAAAAAAAAGACTGTAGAGGGGCAATGGTTACTTAACTGGTTGGGGCCTTGGTTTCCTCACATGTAAAATGGGGATAATGACTTCTATCTCTTAAGGTTGTTGTTGTAAACAATGAAATATATATATAAAGCACTTGGCAGGGCCTAGTACATAGTAGCCACTCAATAGGTGTTAGCTGTCATTATTAGCATCATCATCTTCTCTACCAAAAAGTTTTCTCTAAAGTCAAAGTGAATTCTTTGTAAGAAATCTTTAGGGACCAGAAAGAAGGGAGTACATGCTGCACAGCAAACTAAACTTTGACATTTTAAGCTCTGATCTAGTTTTGCTGTTTTTATTCAAACTTATGGAAATTTGACATAACTGACCTCTATGATAACTTTAATTATCCTTTACTGAGTCTGTGTAACCCTAGTATTCTCTTAGGACTGTAAGAACTGCAAGTTTGTTCCTGAAAATTTGGAGGACTTGATGAAATATACAAATGATTGAACAAGTAGATGGAGTTCATTTATTTGTTAATTCAACAAATAGTTATTGAGTTCCTACTATGTGCCAAGTACCATGCTAGGAGCTAGGAATGTTAGTGAACCCAGACTCGGTCCCTGTTATGAGACAGATGTACTTGTAAGCAGCTGATTACAATTCAGAGTGAAAAATGTTTAGGAAAGTTTTAAGCACAGCAATCTGTCAAAGATACAGACCAAGAAATTTTAGTAAAAAGATGGAACAATCCTACTATCTATTTATTTATTTATTTGTTTCCCCCAAAGTCCCAGTAGATAGTTGTATGTCATAGTTGCACATCCTTCTAGTTGCTGTATGTGGGATGTGGCCTCAGCATGGCCGGAGAAACGGTGCCTTGGTGCGCGCCCGGGATCCGAACCCGGGCCGCCAGCAGCAGAGCGTGTGCACTTAACCGCTAAGCCATGGGGCCGGCCCACTATCTATTTAATTCAACAAAGAACATTTGTAGCAAATTTTTAGAGATTGCTGAAGCTCCATAAAACACAGCATTTGTATATTGTAGTCTTCTACCAACCATAGGTGATGAAAAGCAAAACGGTCTGAATAAAAACCAGATGGATGGAGGAACTGATTATTTAATATTTATTCAATGACAATATATGATAAGGACTGTGATTCATAGCAAAAACCAGATTAAGAGTTCATCTGATTTCTTTTTGGCTGATTTTCCCTCCCTAGGGTAAAGAGTTATTATAAATCTTTGCCTTGTTGCTCACGTTGGCTAACCAGTCAGTCACAAATATTGCACATCTATTATGTCCCAGGCACTGAGCAAGAGAATAGTGTTCCTATCTTCAGGGTATTTCCTGTCTAGCGGGGATAACCTATGTCATAGAAGTTATTACCAATGGGATGTAAGCTCCATGAAGGCAGGGCCTTGTCTTGTTGTTTTGTTCACTGCTCTATCACCAGAACCTAGAATTGCTGATATGCAGTAGGTTTCTCTGTAAAAACTTATTGTTTATAATTCTTAAGGTGTAATATAGGGTACAGCCTAGACTGTAAGGATCAGGGGAAGTTTCCCTGAGGAAGCGATGTTTAAACTGGAACTTGAAAAGAAAACAGGCAGAAAGAAAGGAGAGGAATAGATTCCTATCATACTCTGTACTTTCCCTGCACTTACCACACTTCAATTGGAATCGATTATTTCATTATATAGCTTCACTGTAAGTTTTGGAAGGTCAGGGACCAAGTCTATTTGTCAATAGACTCCCTGAATCCCTGGAACCTAGTACATAATAGGGACTTCCCAATGAATCAAATAATTTTTGAGAAGGAAATTCAAACATGTAGTATCTGCCAGTAGTATAATTACAGCATCAGGAGAGGCTGTAATTTAATACCATATGCACAAGAATCTGATTAAGAATAAGAATATATTTACCTGTCATAAATCTTGGCAATTCTCAGTTCTCCTCTTCCCTTTCGCAAACTTATTCTCGTTGTTGAAGCGTGAGCCAGAATGTGTCCCCCAATGGGTTTTTTGGGGTCTGCCTGAAAACTGAATTAATAAAACACCTTTTCAGGTTTCATCATAGGGGCTATATACAGTAATATCTACAATTACAAGGCAACTTTTCTGTGGATGATGGCAGGGGGTGGGGTAGGTGCGTGTTCTAAACAAACAGAGCCTTGTTCATAAACTATAGAGTGGAGTAGGGTTTGGAGCTGCTATACACCCCATTGCCATCCCATTCAGGCTTCTGAGATTCTTATGATAAATAGTTCATGTTTTGTTTGATTTTTTTAAAAAGAAAAAACACAAATAAAACATTATTCACTGTCTTAGAATAGCTCTTGGGGTTAAGCAATTTTTCTTCTTTACAAAATACAAAGATTGAATTTATTTATTTATTCATTCATTCATATCAGAAATATTTATTAACAGCCTACTATGTGCCAAGCACTATTCTAGTCTAATGAATAAGAAATACCCAACCTTCTCTCATGATGCCATGACATAAATGAGAGCAGGTTGAGAACCTCCTTCTTGTTCATTAACTATATGTTGGAAGCCTTCAATGTTGTACTGGTTATGAATTTACAGTGAGAATAATCTTCAAAATATCTTTGTCTTTATCATTGATGCCTCAAGATTATTCTTCTAAAATAGGATACAGAAAAGATAAGCTCTTACTATGTCTGATCATATAGATTCAAAAAATATATTATGATTACAAAGTAGTTACAAATATTATTGACACTCATCTTGAGAGATATACTCACTAGGGGACTAACACTCACTTGTCAGGAAGTGAAAGGTTCTCAGTAACCTTAATAGTGAGCACTTCCAAATAGCCTAGGTGCAAAAAATCCTCAACAAAATACCAGCAAACCGAATCCAGCAGCATATAAATGGGATTATACACCATGACCAAGTAGGATTTATTCTAGGAATGTAAGAGTGGTTCAACATGGGAAAATCATCAATGTTCTATACCATATCAATAGAATGAAGGAAAAAACCCACATGATCTTCTCAACTGTTTCAGAAGAAAACCTAGGCTTTGAAATCACTGATAAAGTGAACTGAACATAAACAGGTTATACTTGATCAAAATAAACTGTGAGATAGCATAATAGCCTCAGCTCTGGGAGAATATAGTTACAAGTCAATTCAAATTCTGCTTGCTCCAGGAAGGTGTTCAGGATTTTGGTTACTCTAAGCATGAGGCTTGGTGTAGTGAGGATGTGGCTGACTGACGTGAGATTAAATAGATTGTGGGTTGGTGGGGACAAGAAGCTCTCTGGTAAAGAAGTCTGTTAATATGAACTGCTGCTTGCTTAAATGGCTCAAAGGTTAGGACCAGAAGATCCCTGGCTGAGGTTGGATAGGATTGGTTAAGATTCAGCAGATCCATGGTGGGAACAAGGACAGAGAGTTAGTTTTGGAGTAAACCACTTTTAAGAAACTAGCAGCCAGGCAGTTGAGACTGATGGCAATTAAGAATTTGGAAGGCTGGGTTGCTTACTCAGGCAGCTGAACAGGTGGTAAAGCAATAAAACCATCTCAGTCGGATGAAATAGCTAGAAGTGAATTGTCTCTATAATGCTTATAGATCAATGCCACTCTTTTTAATGGAATGGCTCAAAACTTTCCAGTCACCCTACATTATGGGTGGCTCTTCAGGGTCTTAAAAGAATCCTATATTCTATATAGATGGGCTGCTTGAGGCCCTGATGATATTCTCAACTGGGGTGTGAACTCTGAACTTCCAAACACTATATTTATGCTTCTCTAATGCACTTTTCATGTTCTGCCTTTAGTGCTGTTATCATTCACATATATTTCCCCTCAATCCCTCTCCTATTACCTGTCAGTAAGCTCCTTAAGGGCAGACGACATGGTATTTAGCTTATCAGCTACAGTGAGTACTCAAAATATTTTTTGAACTTAAGATATGGAAGTTACAAAAATACCAAGGAGAATATTGGACTGCAGAAATATTGGTGCTTTCACAGAGGGTGGACCAGTTAGAAATTTCTATCAGGAGGAGACAAGAAAGGATAGTCAGGGTTAGCTATATGAGCAGAGAGAAGTTTTAACAGCTTTGTTACTGCTTCTCACACATGGCCTCTCAATACTGCTTAGTAATTCTCCTATATGAGCATGGTTAGCTTCACCTCCCCTTTTCCAAACCTTCAATAATCTCCTTGATCTCCTTTTTCCATTCTTGTTCCCTCACCTCGGATGACATTGCTTGCTTCTTCACAAAGAAAATGAGTGCTCTCATGAAGAAGCTCCCTCAACTTCCCCTTCTTTCTATTGGCTACCTACATACTTATCTACAGTTGTACTCATTCTTCCTCCTTCCTTCTCAAACTTCTTTTCTTTTTTCTTATTTCAGCAAGTCCTCTTATACCTCGATGGCTTTGCACACATGATTCCCTCTGAAACGAAAGCCCCTTTCCCACTCTTTGTTCATTTAGCTCCTATTCACTCATCAAGCCTCATCCCTTCTTGGAAACCTTGCCTGATCCCCTGACACAGAGTAGAGTCTGTCTCCTCTATGCTCTCATACCACTGTGTATGTTCCTATATTAAAGTACGCTACATGGTAATTTAAATTCATGGGTCTCAATTCTCCACTACACTCTAAATCCTTGTTTTTCTTTGTAACTCCAGTGCCTAGAAAAGTGCCTATAATATAGAATATACTCCAAAATTATTGTTGAATGAATATAGAGGAGAAGACAATTTGGGTCTCCCTGGTCTAGATCCTTTTGGACACAGATTTATGACATGTTTTCAAAGAAGCTGTAATTAAATGAAATTTTAAAGGGGGTTGTGACATAAAAGCAAACAAAAGGAAATAGGATTTCCCCCTAATGAAGTAATCCCCCCCTACAGATAATCTAAAGAAGAGTAGGAAGAGTGACATCAGCATCATGGCAGAGTAAGCAGTTCCCTTAGTCTCTCCCCTCTAAGTTACAACCAAACGGACATTCATTAACCAACAGAGGATATCCTACAAAGCACAACAGGACATCTGAGAGATCCACACAGCCATATATCTGAAGGTAGGGGTACTGGATCCCCAGGAAGCAGTGGAAGAAGATGAGTAGATCCCCTCCCCCTCCCCCACGGCAGCAATCTAGGTCACAGGTCCTCACACAGCAGCCAGTGGCAACTGTAAGAGGATGCAGGGGAGCAGGCAGGCCTGTGCACCAACGCTTTTGCTTTTGGAGTTGCAGCCCGACCTGCAGGAACACTCCACACCAAGTGGCATGGCTCAGCCACCGTGTGGGAGACCCCACCAAGCACAGCAGCCCAGGTGAACGCCTGTGAGCACAAAGCAGGCCCACACACACACGAAAGAAAGCGTCCCTCCCCTCTCACCTAGCACCCCAGCTCTACTGGTCCCTGGCCAAGGCAGTGGATCCGCACCACAGTGCCTGTGTGTGTGTGTGTGACCTGCCAAATGGCTGAAGCCAGTGGGCAAACACAGATGAGCCCTATTGTCACAACTTCCAAAAGACATGGTGGGTTCAGAAAACAGAGCTCCTGCCCGTCCCCACAGTGGTGGCAGGTAGAATCTGCAATCTGATACTACCACTATGCACCAGCAAAGGATCACTTCATCAAACACCCTGAAGAACTACACTAACACTCCAGAGCAGAAGGAAAATGACAAATCTCCAAAAACCAACCCTGAAGTCACAGAAATTTAAAATCTAAATGACAGAGAATTCAAAATAGTTGTCATAAAGAAACTCAACAAGTTACAAGAAAACTCAGAGAGACAGTTCAGTGAACTCAGGAATAAAATTAATGAGCAGAAGGAATTTTTCACAAAAGACATTGAAACTCTAAAAAAAAAAAAAAACAAATTCTGGAGATGAAGAACAAAATGAAGGAGATAAAAAAACAATCTAGAAACCTTAAAAAACAGAGCTGACGTTATAGAGGACAGAATTAGTAAGTTAGAGGACAGAAATACACAAATGCTTTAGGTGGAGGAGGAGAGAGAACTAAGACTTAAAAAAAATGAAGAACTTCTTTGAGAAATATCCAACTCAATTAGGAAATGCAACATAAGGATTATAGGTATTCCAGAAGGAGATGTGAGGGAGAAAGGAGCAGAGAGCTTGTTCAAAGAAATAATAGCTGAGAATTTTCCAAACCTGGGGAAGAAACTGGACTTACAAATACATGAAGCCAAGAGAACTCCTAATTACATCAATGCAAAAAGAACTTCTCCAAGGCATATAATAGTAAAACTGGCAAAAGTCAATGACGAAGAAAAAATATTAAGGGCAGCAAGGCAGAAGAGAAGAATCTCCAAAGGAACCCCTATCAGAGTTTCAGTGGATTTCTCAGCAGAAACCTTCCAGGCTAGGAGAGATTGGAATGATATATTCAAAATACTGAAAGACAAAAACTTTCAGCCAATAATACTCTATCCAGCGAAACTCTCCTTCAGATATGATGGAGAAATAAAAACTTTCCCAGATAAACAAAAGCTGAGGGAGTTCATTGTCACTAGACCTCCCTTACAAGAAATGATCAAGGATGCCCTCATACCTGAAACAAAAAGGCAAAGGTTTACAAAGCCTTGAGCAAGGAGATAGACAGACAGACAAAATCAGAAAATTGCAGCTCTCTATCAGAACAAGTTAGCAAAGAATTATGACATAAAACATAAAGGGAAAGAAAGTATCAAAAATAACTATAAACACTTCATTTTAATCACAGACTCACAACCCAAAACAGAATAATTTGTGACAACAATAACTTAGAAGGGGAAGAGGAAAGGGATGGACCCTGCTTAGGCTAATGGAGAGAAGAGGCTATCAGAAAAGGGACTATCTCATCTATGAGATCTTTTATACAAACCTCATGGTAACCACTAAACAAAAAACCAGAGCAGAGATACAAATCATAAATAAAGAGAAAACTGAGAAAACCATCACAGAAAACCACCAAACTGAAATGGCAGTCAGAAATACAAGGGAAGAGAAACAAGGGAAATATAGAACAACTGGAAAACAAGAGATAAA